GTGAGGCTTATGGCCTCACTAATTCCTCACCACACCCACCCTAGTACAGTTGTGTACCACATGCAAAAGACCGGAAAATCCAACCTGCCATTGTTTTGTGATTTTATTCATTGCATTTAAATTATTTACACCTTGCGCTTCACAAGATAGCTTCAATATGGCTTGCAATAAGGAGGCTAAAAATGTCATAAGATTTACAAAACAATAAAAACAGAATAAATATCTATATAATGATGAACACATATAAATATGAATAAATATAAAAGCCAGTGGGCATGACAAGGAAAACATGAACATAAGTAAAATTTGGAGATGGCAATTAAATAGAACCATTCCCATGATAAATAGAAGATCATAAGAACCTACTGGAATAGTCCAGTGGCTCATCTAGTCTAGTGTACTGTTTTCACAGTGGCCAACCAGACGTCTATAGGGAGTCTGAAAGTAGGACCTGGAAGAGCTATCCCCTCCTGTGGTTTCCAGCAAGTGGTATTCAGAAACTATGAAAAAATGGAAACTATGACTGATAGTCAAGTTCCCAAAGCAATTGAACTGGTGATCTAAACTATATGGCCAAGTGTGAACTCTATCCACTGACCATTGTAGATCTCATGTGTCAAAATCACAAGATTTCTTTTGGCATAAGGTACATTCTGAGGAAACAACCCTTATTGCTGATGGTCACACCTAAATACAGTGGTACCTCAGGTTAAGTACTTAATTCATTCCTGAGGTCCGTTCTTAACCTGAAGCACCTCTTTAGCTAATGGGGCCTTCTGCTGCTGCTGCACTGCCGGAGCACAATTTCTGTTCTCATCCTGAAGCAAAGTTCTTAACCCGAGGTACTATTTCTGGGTTAGTGGAGTCTGTAACCTGAAGCGTTTGTAACCTGACGGCTATGTAACCCGAGGTACCACTGTAAACCATTGCTGATCCCTTTTTATTGGCTTCGATGCCATTGAAATGTGAGACAAAAGTACAAATATGAAGAAAACCGAGGCTGTAAAACTGATATGTGAAACATATTATCAAATCCTCTACACAGATATAGCACTGATACACTATATCAAATGCAGCCTGCAGGCTGTCCCTTCCCTTTTTACCACAACTTCAGTTTATCCAAACTGTGATTAGTTTTAACTACAATTTACTCAAGCGTGCCAACTTCAAACCTTTCTTTATGATGTAGGCTTGCTTCAATAAACAATGGTTAATCAGAACTTTGTGCTTAAAATAACTGCCATGGAAATGTGTTGATTATTCTTAGAATTTGTAGAAATGACATTACAAAATACAGTTTATGACAGATTTGCCTTGGCAGCATGCCTTCCAAGAAAAGCCCTCTATTTTAGCTAAGAAAGGAACAGTGTGTAATCCTGGTGGAATAAAAGGAGAAATGGCTAGAGTGGTAAAACAACATCAGTTTCCAAATTACATATTCATGACTTTCACAAAACTCAAATTTAAAGTACCTTTCCAACTGACTTATGGGAGACTGATCATATTTAGTCTGGTTTTGAAATTGTATTAGAACTTTTCTACAGAAGCACGTTCAGTTTGCAAGGCTGGTATCAGAACAGTTGGAATTTATTCCATTTCATTTAACTTTATCAGCTAAGGATTATCCATCCAAAAAACGTATTTGGATGATAAAGCATTTTGTTCTATTTGTTATCTGAAATAATGTAGAATTCCAGTCAGGTATTACTATCTTTGGAACACTGGAAGTATAGAAGCTCTGCTGAGCCATCTGTTATGCTCTTTAAAATGTTTAGGGGAGAGTTTTCCCCCGAAACTTTTTTCCTTTAGGAAACATTTCCCACATTACCCTGCCTGCTATAGAATCCCTAAGCCTCTTTTCCAGAACCACAATGGATAGCTGTCTGCAATCATTAAAGGACCCATAGTTAATTCTGTAGTTACATTGAAGCTACATCCCTTGCTGAGGCTCCAATACTTTGGCCACCTCATGAGAAGAGAAGACTCCCTGGAAAAAACCCTGATGTTGGGAAAGATGGAGGGCACAAGGAGAAGGGGACGACAGAGGACGAGATGGTTGGATAGTGTTCTCAAAGCTACCAGCATGAGTTTGACCCAACTGCAGGAGGCAGTGGAAGACGTAAGTGCCTGGCGTGCTCTGGTCCATGGCGTCACGAAGAGTCGGACACGACTAAACGACTAAAGAACCACAACAACACATCCCTTGCGTCTGAAGGTGAAGGGAAAGCCATATCCCCAGGCTGGGTTGGAGGGAGGGTTAGGTAAGAGTAGAAGGGAGTGCTCTGCAGGTAGCACTGGGCCATGGATGCTGAGAACATGAAAAGCTTTTCTCATGCTTCTTTCCTCCTGCGACCCTCTTCCCAACTTCTCTTGCAACATGTGTGTTTCCTGTCCCTGTATCTACCACCAACCATTTAGTTTGGCTCCAGCTTCCATTGAAATCTTACCTTGGACTTGATTATTCTGCACATATTTACAGTCAGTGCAACATTCATTGATGTTATTTGCAAGATCTACATTCTCAAGCAAATCAAAAGCAATTGTCTGTTATACACTCATAACATAAACGTATTGTTTGTTTTTCAAGAGCTGCAATAAAACTAGCTGTATTACTGAGCAGTAAATAATTTGATGTGGAAAATTTTAGTTAGCTTCCTTACAGATGATGGTGGCTTGTAAATTAAACCTTATGTATTAAACAATGATGTAGATCAAATTTTCATAGTATTTTTTAAGGGGGAGGGGAAGATTTTACATATTATAGTTTTCAATAGAAATGTTTGTAAAGACATTTAATATTATATGTTCTAGTTTTCTGGTTTCTGCGGTACCTTTTCATTATATTTGTTTGCTTTGATCTGTTGGGGTACTTAGCTTTATGTACAGTTGTTGGACATAATCTACCATTATTGGGTGCAATCAAACACCATTAAATTCAATGAGAGCTATGCTATTGACTTCAATCAAATGTTTGATTTCTCTCACTGTAATCACTAGTGAATGATCTGACTTGTGTGACTCATTCTCATAACAGAGCATTATTGATTTTTCTCTGTGGGACTTTTCTCTCCTGAATGTAAAGACACATTTTTCTTTCTCTTTCTTCTTCTGGATTGCCTTTTCTCCAGAAATCAATACACTTTACTAAATTTACAGAGTGTCTTATTAAAAATAATTAGTCAGAACAAAATGAAGTTCTGCCTTTTTTACTCAGATTGTATTATCTTTTTGGGAAAACATAAATATTCAATAACTTAACTAGCATATCTTATATGATTCACTCTGTATAAGAAACACAAATGTTTATGTTGTTAGGATGAATGAGAGAAGACAGAAACTCTCCGTGGAGGAATTTGGCATTTTTTTCATTCATTGAGATTCATTCTTAGCAAGAGGATTACAACTATGAGAACTTGTGTTGGCCTGCATCAATGGTAGAAATTTTCACAGTTTAACATGATGGTGGGTGTGCAAAGTTAGCATTCACTGGGGCTCCCAGTTTGCAGCAATCAAAATTTGTTTGGGACATTAAGGGTGGTAGTAAGGTATAGAAACCAGGAGCAAAGTTTTGCACAAAGCAACAAGTATCTCTTTCCAACAGCAGCCCACCGGACTTGTCTCTCGTATTCTGAATTAAAGACTCCATGTACCTATCATAGCTAAGAGCTATTGATAGAAATCCCCATAAATTGAACTAAACCTTTCTGTCGAATTTATTAATTAATTAAGTTGATCTTCTGTATCAAAAGAACATACATAATGCATCAAACATAAGCAGTAAGATTTTAATAAAAATCCCAATCACTGTGATTTGAGTATCCTGGGAAAATAATTTACTGTGACTAAAATTTACTGTGTCTTTAAGCTGCCACAAAGACTGTTTTTTGCTGAAATAAATAAATAAAAGAAAAAAGAATATTAGACTGTTTATTTGCTATCAGGTCATTTTACTCTCCTTCAAATCTTTCCATAAAATATTATATTAAACTTATTATTACTATTATATTTAATATATGTAAAAATGTAACCACCCATCTACCGTATTTTTCGCCCCATAGGATGCACCTAGATTGGGGGGGGGGAATAAAGGGGAAAAAATTATTCCCCCCCCCCAGGCGCGGGGCTGGCGCGGGGGAAGCCCGAGCTTCCCCCGACCCCAGCCCCCAGAACAGGCTGCGGACATCTGCCCGAAGCACGGGGCGTGCTCTGCAGCGCGCCCCATGCTTCGGGCTGCAGGCTGCCGCCCGCAAGCCTTGCGCGCCTGGTGGGACCTCCCGCCGGGCGCGCGAGGCTTGCGGATAGCTTCCTGAAGCCTGGAGAGCGAGAGGGGTCGGTGCACACCGACGCCTCTCGCTCTCCAGGCTTCAGCGAAAGGCTGCATTCGCCCCATAAGACGCACACACATTTCCCCTTCATTTTTGGAGGGGGAAAAGTGTGTCCTATGGGGCGAAAAATACGGTACTTTAGCAGAGTTTAATTCATTTCTGCTAAGGCAGCTGCTTGCAGGAATATTGAGGGGTTGTGGAGATAATGTTTGATAAAGGATTTCCTTGCATATCACTCCATCCATCTGACATATTCTCTATCCAAGGGGGAATATGGGAAGAAGTAACAGTAACTTAGATGAGATGTAAATTAGATTCCAATGTCCCTTGAAGTATTGATTTACACTTATGGAAAGAGATGTATCAATTACAAATATAGCTCAAACAAATGTTTCATCTGCTTTTTCCTGATATTTTGAAAATTTTGCCAACAAAACAACAACTCATTAGGAAATATTGGTGACTCAACTTGGGAAATCCTGCATGCAGAGCAACTGCTCTACCAGTGAGCCATTTATTTACTTATAGGATTCCTGAAGCAGATTTTTCTCAGATGGTGTTGTTCCACCACTTAGTGGAACAATAATGTATAATGTATGACATTGTTACCATGGGGTAACATTACAATAATTTAACGCTTGATGATGACTTCCTATTTCCATCTTCCCTTCACAGATCAAATTATGACATCATCACCCAAAGGAATTTTCCGGCCATTTCTGTTTATCTTCATTGTGCTGGGATGCTTCATGGCATGTCTGCTTATTTATATCAAACCGACAAACAGCTGGATATCTGGTCCCATTGAATCAGCCAGCTCTGTTCTAAAAATGAAGAACTTCTTCTCCACCAAAAATGATTATATCAATGAGACAACTATTCTGATATGGGTATGGCCGTTTGGCCAGACATTTGATCTGAAATTCTGCCCAACATTTAACATCCACGGGTGCCATCTGACTACAGACCGCACACTATATAACCAGTCTCATGCCGTTCTTATTCACCACAGAGATATCAGTTGGGATCTGACTAATTTACCTCAGCAACCTAGGCCGCCATTTCAAAAATGGATCTGGATGAACTTGGAATCACCAACACACACTCCACAAAAGAGTGGGATTGAGCATCTATTCAATTTGACCCTCACTTATCGTCGAGATTCAGACATTCAAGTGCCTTATGGCTTTATGGTAGTTAGCACAAGCTCCTTTCCATTTGAAATGCCGAATAAAGAAAGACTGGTGTGTTGGGTCGTGAGTAACTGGAACCCAGAGCATGCTAGGGTCAAATATTATAATGAACTAAGTAAATACCTTGAGATCCATACCTATGGACAAGCATTTGGAGACTATGTGAGTGATAAAAATTTGATCCCAACCATCTCCGCTTGTAAGTTTTACCTTTCCTTTGAGAATTCTATCCACAGAGACTATATCACAGAGAAGCTTTACAATGCTTTTCTTGCTGGATCTGTGCCAGTCGTTCTAGGTCCTCCTAGAGAAAACTATGAGAATTACATCCCTTCTAGTTCTTTCATTCACGTGGAGGATTTTCTCTCTCCAAGGGACCTCTCAGAGTATCTTCTTTTGCTTGACAAAAATGATAAACTGTATGTTAGCTACTTCGACTGGAGGAAGGATTTTTCAGTGCACCTTCCTCGATTTTGGGAATCACATGCATGCCTTGCCTGTGACCATGTAAAAAGACACCAGGAATACAGGTCGGTTGGCAATTTAGAAAAATGGTTTTGGAATTAAACTCCTATCCCTTACTTGCACTTTACATATATATTTTTAAAATCTAACAAAACCATTATTCCAAGTGAAGATGGTGGGGGGAATCCCTCCAGAATATGTGACATCTTTGTTTCCTGGATACAACATATTCCAGTTACACTATCTCTGGATCATTCATCCAAAACTCTCCTTACTTTCCACAGAAAGGTATCTCATTAAAAAAGACTAATGATGTCACAGACATTGGCCATGTTCTGTGTTGTTGACTTATTTGGAGAGTTGATCATTTTATTTTATATAGATGTGACTTTGAAAAGGAATTAAGAGCTGGCAGCCTGAACAGAAGTTTAATTATTTTGTTAAAGCAATCAGCGCTATGGTGACTTCTTGTTATATTTTCATCAAATGCAAACACAAATATCATTTTTTGCAATGTGTACTGAGAAAAACTGAGAAGTAACTTATGTGGACACTTATTAGAGATCTGTATGTGAAACTGGTGCACCATGGTTGCACAAATTATTCCTCCTGAGCCACTGGCATGCTATCTTATTTATATTTTGTTGGAAATCCTGCTATGTATATAGCTGGTTATGTGCACTGAATAGTAATTTATTGTTTACCATTTCTTTTTAAAACTTCCCCCCATTTTTTATTTGTTTGTAATACAGCAGTCACTGGCCAATACATAGAGTAATGGTGTTTACACTGGCTCAGATAGTTTCTTTCTGGGAGAAAACAGGCTTAGAAAAAAAATTAAAATTTCTAGCTAAGATTCAATATAGGATTCAAAGAAAAAATATTTGTGAGTTCAACTCTTTAGTGAAATACACATGTGACCTTCTCTGCCATTTTATATACTGCGTACAAGGTACAGTTCCAAAAGCAGTTTTCTATGAAGCATGGAAGGCTTCTACTGAGTAAAAATAAGTCTAAAGACCCATTTAGCTCATGGAACTAGTTTCCTAATTATTTGAAATCTGGCCTTGGTAAACAAATACATTTTTTTAAAAATGTGCATTTTCCTCCATCTACTCTAGAATGCTAGTTGATTGACAAAGTGAACATTTTCTATCCTTGGAGAAGTATTAAGTGGCATGCTTTGAAACCACACAGTCAGAATTAAATACGAACTGAGTGCTTTGTTGAAATGAAGATTCAGAAGGCAGCAAATGAAAGTCTGTTTCCATTTGGGGACAAAGGAAGCAGCTTTATACCAGGTAAGACTATTTGTCCATCTAGCAGAGGCTGTTCATCATTTCAGGATGCAGAAATATTTCCACATCAACTGCTACCTGATGCTTTTAACTGGAGATCCCACCAGTTCAGCCTGGGGCCTTCTGCATAACAAAGCTCATGCTCCACTTCTGAGCTTGGTCCCTCCCATAAGCAATAAGCAATCTTTTTTGTTGTTGTTTATCTGATAGGACCACTGTTTCAACAGTAGGTAGATATTTTATCTAATGCCTTGAAAAGAGTAAAAGATTTATCAGTTAGGTGACAATCTTATACCTGGGAGTAGTCACCACTGAACTAAGTGGGACTTCTGGGTAGCTGGGTGCATAGAATTCTATTGTTAGCCTTGTATTTCTGACAGTTGCAAATTATCTACTTCTCAGATGTAACCATCTGACAATGATTCAGCCATTAGCAGGCTGCTATGATAGGAATATTCAGTCTCAGAAGTGATCCCTGAGCTGTGTGCACAATTAAGACAGTACTGGGACACTTACTGGTGGGAAATGTTTGAAAATTGCTAGATCAGGCTACAGCTGTTTTGGGCTTGAATTTAAGCCCATAGAATAGAGTTTCTCAGTGGTGATATTAATGCACCTCCCCTATGTCATTATGTTGTGATGATACTGCAGCCTTTTATTGGGGCACAAATATTTTAAGGTCAGAGATCTAAGCAAACATTTCAGTTCATATTTCTTTCTAAGTTGATGAATACAAATGCTTTTGATTACTTCATGTTTTAACAATAAACATAAAAGCATGATTATCAAGACCACAGTACAACAGAAGGCTGCAGAATGAATCATGAAGGCTGACAGAACCTTTCATCTGTTGGGAAAGTGAAAGAAGAGAAAGCAGGACAGCGACTAGAAGGTTGTCGATGTCTTCAGAGTTGTCAGTGTTCATTATCTTCCGAAGGGGTTGTGCATACAGTTTGGGAGTTGATGACAGATGTGGTGCTCCATGTTCTCCACACTTTCAGAAGGAATGAGCAGTAGCAGCCAGTGAGGTGAGCCAGCTTACCTGAATAGCTCTGGGGCAGAGCAGTGGGAAGATAGGGGCTGGCAGAGCCAATCCAGCACTTCCACCAGCACACCTGCACAGCCCTAACCTTGCTCCGTCCCTGCCCCAGCACTAGCCAAGTAACCTGTAGCAACACTGGTGTTTGGATGCAAATCTGTGGCACTGCCCCACCACATTGGCCACTATTGTCAGTGAGCAGAAACCTGATTAAAATGGTGGTTTATTTTGATGGGCAATGGCAATAGAACATTTTGATTTAGTTGGATCACATTTATAAATGCCCCACATTGTGTGGACTGTTGGCACATAGGATATTGAATATTAGGTGATGGCTTTCTACTTGCAGAATACTATTGCCCCTAAGATACATTGATCTACCTATATATAGCAAGTCCAATCCATGTGTTTCTTAATGTGTTTGGGGAGAAGCACCCATCCTTCTGTTTCAAAGGGTTTTACATTGTCTCAGTACTTTGTGGCTAAAATCTATTCCTGTCCTTTTATGAATGTATGAATCGAGGGTTTCGTTAACACTAAATCAATGCAATAAAAAAGAACAGCCTTTTAGGTGCTGAAAGTAGACACTTCCCCTGAGAGAAGGACTAAGCTGTTTGCTTAAATGTATTTTATTAAAAAGGTAAAAATTGTAGGTATTAGAACAGGGGTCCCTGGTGTGGTGCCCTCAGACACACACTCTCTTGGTGCTCAGCAGGGCCCCCTGCCCATCCTATTGTACAAAGAGGTTTTTTGCTTTGGGGGAGGTTGGGTTGGGGCTCCTGTTCCTGTAAATTCCATCTACTTTGGGAGAAAGGAGAAAATGTTATAGCTGTTCTTAAACTCCCCATGATAGTGAATGGGGCACACAAAGCTCAATTTTATATAAAGTTGCTCAGAAATCAGATTGAAAAGGTGCACAGAACAACTCAGAAACAAATCATTTTTTTTAATGCACAACTACAAGATGATACAAAGCAGTTGAATTTGAACCTGCACCCATCTACGGAACTAATATGTCTTTGTGCACAAAAGTTGTGCTTGGAACTCTAAGGCTCACATTTCAGTATGTGATACCTTTACTAGTCAGTAGAATTCAAAATGAAGCATTACCTTTCTCATATTTCTCAGCAAAAAACAAAAAAAAGAGTTTTGGGGGCAAACATTTGGAATTCATTTTCTGTCAAGCCCTATTTGATGTTTGCCCATCAACAAAATTAGCAATCATATGAGAGGGAGAGCTAGCTTCAAATCCTCCTATCGTGTCCTTGCCCTTTACCATGCATGCATGTGAGAGCATGTCTGCAGAGGACACACCCTCTACACACATGGATTCTCCCCATGATGAGGGGAGATCTGGGTTCCACATTGCAGGAGAACCCTACATACTGTACGTAGAACAGGCACCTTTCTACGTACAGTGTATCAGGGTATAACCAGCAAGGGCAGGATCAGCAGACATAGCCCCATTCTTTTTAAACAAGTATTGGGAGCACCCAAATAGGGCTACAGTGTTTGTACAACTATGCATTGTGATAACTCTATCTGTAATTCAAAATTCGTTTCCCCTGTATTTGTTTTATTTTCATCCATACCCAGTCTAGCAACTTATGTAAATATGTCCTTAGTGCTTTATTCTTATGTGACCTCTGGGCAATAAGGATAATGAATAATGGATAATCTTTAAGTGATAGATATTGTATAAATGAACCTTTGTTATCTGAAATATAACGTGGGGTTGCAATGAAACTCTGTGTCCGTTAATCGTATGTAAATTGAGCTCATTTTTGTATGAACTTTGGACTTTCAAAATGATTTGCATGTTCCCCAGAGCATTTAGGCAAATGGTTCTATAATGCATCGATCTTTTCCATTTTCTTTGTTTGAGAAGATGGCAATTGTTTACCTAATATCTAAGTGATAAGACATGGCTGCAACAGCTTCCCCATTTATTTCAATGGAGGAAACAGATCTCGGTGTTCTTTTCTGAATGAGGAAGCATTCTGTTCATTAGAGCTCTGTTTGTATGCTACAGCAGTAGTTCCCAAACTTGTTTTCCCACAGAAGACTTAAAAGTTGCAGATTGTCTTAGCAGACTACTTAATGATTTTTCTATCTGTTGTAGCCATTGTGCCATGCTGTGCTAGGTGCTCTTTGATTTTTAATTGCATTTTATTGCTTCTATTGTATTTTATTTTATTACAGTTTGCATTCCATACAATAAAAATAAAAGAAGCAACAAAAATACAATTAAAAATCAGTATGAATATTCAATGTGGGCATGCTACAGACCACCCAAGTGAAGGTCGCAGACCACTAGGAGTCTACGGACCACAGTTTGGGAATTCCTGCACTACAAGAAGCATGGAACTCTTTATCAGGGCAGTATTTTCAAAGGTTTGGAAAATGTGACATTTAAGAACAAAAAGCTATTAAATTAGAGGGGGAAGCTGACACCTTTATTTCCAAGTGAAACTTTGATACTTCCCCTATGCACACACACATTTGTATCATCTGTGTAGGTATTACCACTGTTTCAAAAAAAAGCTCTATTGCGGGAAACTGTGAATCTCCGCTGTTCACCAGCATTAACATTGTTACACTACAAGAGAAAACTGATAATGTGCATGAATGTGATAGAATGAAATCTTAACCTTCGTTATCTAAAAGGGAAATCCTGGCTTGGATTCAGAGGTAGCTACTGTGAGCTGAATGGCATTTCTGCTCACAT